TTCTCAACCATAAAAACACAATCTTTTCAAGATGGTTAAACATAAATACAGCTCTCTGCATCATCGTCCCCCATAGTTGTTGTTTTTCTTGCCACTTCTTCATAGCAACACCCAGAATAGTGACCTTTGTCGGGTATTAATGGCACTCAGGTCGGATGAATACGACCTGGCCACTCAGACACAGGCCGCATTTGAAAAGATACGATTTGTATCGGATTCAGAACCACATAGCCAAGTGGCTTGGGTCGCATTAGAAAAAAATCGGATCTGTGTTGTTAAAAAAAAAATCGGATTTGGGTCACTTCAGGCTGCAGTGTGAACATAGCCTAAAAGCCTGTAGCCTATTTTTCTAAATTCATGGTCAGAGGTTCCCGTGCTGTTTGGCAGATGTGACATGAAGCATGTTCATGTTAAATGGGTCTGACCTATGGGACATATTCAAGATGGACTTTGTGGATGCTCAGAAACAAACTGGCATCCAGCTCAACTCAGACAGCAATGGTAACTCTAGGTAAGGTGAAAAAGTTGAAGAAACAAGAAAACCTTGATAGATGCGAGCTACAAGGACTAGCTGAAGAGAGCTGCAGTTCTGTGTTTTGGCCACAGGTGGCAGTAATAGAAAACTCTGTAATGCATGAGTTTTACCAAATTTTATCTATAAGTCAGGGAGCTTGTTTTATTTTCCAGCCATACTTTTGTGATTTAAGAATATCACTATTTCTTTCCACTTCACAATTAAATATTGCTTTGGGTTTATATGTGGCAGAGAAAACAATATATATGGAGGTCTGTGATTAAAAGTTTATAGGTTTTTAATAATTTTGAGGTACACTACAAATCCCAAACTGTGGACCAAAAACAGTCCATCAGTTACTCAAATCTGTAGCAACATTATTATTATTATTAGACTATTGAGATCCTGTTTATTCTTATTCTAGTTCATATTTGTTTAAGTTGACATTAGCTTCAAGTTAAAAACAAAATAAATATATCTTTTGAGTGCAATTACTAGAAGTACGTGATAACGTTTAACTTTGTTTTATAACTCTGTCCTGCTTAGAAGACAGAGGCACATAAAACAATTTTCACATCTGAAACTTTTAGATTTTATATTAATAGAAAAATCTTTTTAACACTACTGTTTAGAGAAAAAGAAAAGGTTTTCTGTGGTAGGTCAAGATTGAGTACGTAGTTTTGGGTTGAAGTCACCTACCACTTGGATAAGTATGTGTCTGTATGAGATTTTGTAAGCATCAGTGTGTGTGGTCCTGACCTGTCCACTGATCCTGGCTGTGGAAAGGCCAAAGTGCCTCTGTCTCTCCAGCTGACTCAACTCTGCTGTCGCCTCAGAGTGTGTGGCTGTGCGTGTGGGATTGTGTGTGTGGCCTCTGTGTAAGCAAGCTATTGTCAATTGATGTGCGAATGCATGTGCATGCATGTGAGCATGATGCTTTTGTGCTCCGTTTCTGAACATGTGCACAAGCCTGTCAGTATGTGATAGAGAGACAGTGCAGGATTGAAAGATCTGAGTCTGAAGATCTTTTGCAGACACCTCCATTTAGTCAGACTGCTTCCTGTCGCCGGGTCTGGATCAAGGTTATGATTAAAGCTAATCTTGGTTAACTTGATGACCCTTAATCCTGCTGGTACCGTTCTTATTTTGAAACGCACAAATAACAGCTCTAAACTCTTTATCATTCAGCTGAAATCAACCCCACATGTTCATGTTGAGTTCTGAAAGGGGCATATAAAAAGCTGTGTTTCATATAACGGTTAATATAAGAAAAATCTGTTTGAATCTGCAATACAGTAAATGTAATTTAAAGGGATAAGTATAAAGGCCACACAGATTAACCCCTGAGCTGAAGTCATTAACCGATGAACTAATCATGAATTATCTAATAATAATAATAATTCACCTTAGCTAACCCACTACTAAAAAACTTTACAGCAGTTTTTCCAGAATCTCCTCATAATAAAATGGTTTAAGTTTGCTAAGTAACTGCTAATATTGAGGCTGTTTAAAAATGTTTTTGTTATAATGAATAATGAAGTGTTCCGCTGCAGTAAAGATCTAAAGAGTTTGTTTTATTTAATTTAATTAATTTTAACTAATGGTTGACTGGCAAATATTTAAAGATTAATTCATCCTTTATAAGCTTAGTGGAAAGAGTAGTAGTACAGTAGTTTAATCCAATTCCACTAAACCCCAGATGTCCTATTGATCTATACATTTCTGCATCATAAGTTCATAATTGGTTAAGTAGTTACTTAATCTTTTGTTTGTATTAGTTATTGTTACGTGCCAATAATTCATCATTAGTTAATGATTAGTTAAGGTTAACTCATTAGTTTATGATAAGTTCACCATAAGTTCATGTGATTTGGACTCGACTCTTGATTCCTACATTATTGCTTAATTTTAGCTAATAGGAAGTTTGTGATTAGTTCATTAGTTCCTAATGTAAATTAGTATTTGATTTATGAATCTTTTTGGCTGTTATGAAATTATTCTGTTGGAATGGCGACTTACATCTATTAATACATTCTTGCCTCAGAACATAAGATTTTATTTTGAGATGTGTTGTGTTAAGCCAGATGCAAGTAATTCCCTTTATAATGAAATAGTTTTATGAAATCATTTTTTGGACACTGATGACAGTATTACACGGAAAGCATAATCTTTGGGGATTTTAAGTGGACAGATCAATAATGTGTTAGGCTTAGTAAAACTGCATCCATATTTCCTTAGAATGAATGAATCACGATAGTGTTTTGTGTTACCGTTTTCATTTTGCAGATGTAATTCTGTGCCCTTCTCTCTTTCTGTCTCCTGCATTGGGGTGGAATGAAAGCAGCCGTGTCTCTGTCATTAAGGCTTCTAGTTCTAATGGTAGGATTAGTTCACACGCTGACAGCCTTCATCGCAGGACACACAAATGGAGAACATGGATGCACAAATGCTGGCATGTCTCCTTCCTGTAGATGGTGGGAGATTAGAATGCTGATTGGAATTCACAAGCTGTGTATTTATTTAGTTTTGAAAACAGTTGTGGCTTTAAATAGCTTCTTTTAGCTTTTGTCCCTGGCTGCTGAGAATAGCATAATGTGGCAATAGTTAATATGGTGTAGAGTAGGCAAAATCTGGAAGGGGTGCGTCTCATTTTGAGATCTGTTTAAACACTTCTGCAGACAATTATAAATTACATATGGTGACACTACTGAATAAAAGACAAACTGCAAATCGGCTAAATGGTGAATTCTTGTATTATCGCATAATGAGAGAAGTAATCCTGGATTTTATTCTGTTTAAAATTCTAGCTCAAAAAGCATTACACAGAGGAGGAATAATTAATTAGTCACACTTAAAAAAATCTCAAAACATAATCTGCAAGGATTCTACATTTATTCTCTTTATTAAGCTTTTTATCTATTTAACATGATGCTAATTGCTAACATTAAACGTCCCTCATGCTCTGAGGAGGAACTTTTAATTTGACTTGTTTTTCTTTAAATCCCTATAGTTCAGTCTGTACACATGCTTATATGACTGAACAGGCAAACCTGTATACTCCTCTCTTCTATGTATGTTTGTGTCGGTTTCTATTTAAAGTAACAGCTTTTAAATTGAAAATACAACATTGTTTGATTGAAAGTGATATCTGAAAAGATGTTTACTAGTTTAAAAAATATAGCCAGTTTTTGTCAAGTACAACTGACATGTGCTACCCTCTTTGACATAAATGTAAACTTGTCATAAACTTAACCCAAAGCTGTGAGAATCTACTATGAAAAACTTTTATTAAAAAAAAGAAGGAAATAAAAGTACAGCTAAGGTTACGTGTGCACTTTTTGCTGCATAGTTTTCAAGTTATTCTAATTGGCTTATAGAGGCATATGAAGTTCAGAGCTCAGTATATAAAATGAATGCTTATTGTTCATTCACTTGCTCCATTTAGAATTTCTTACTGGTAAGAAAGACTCTTGAGTGCAACCAGACCACCTGATAAACTCTTAGCATTTCAAAAAGGCAGACAAACTGACAACGACTTAATCAGACCAAGCAGAGCTTTTCAAAATGTCTCCTTCACAATCTGAGAACAAAGATCATTACCATAGTTTCCGGACTATAGAGCACACCTCACTATAAGCCACGCCACAACATTAAAAAAAAACAAACTGGAAACTTGCATATAAAAGCCGCACAGGGTTATAAGCCTCCGATATCTACTGAACTGTCTCCCACCAAACCTGTAGGGGGAGCTCTACATATAGCCCCTGGAGTAGGGCAGAAGAAGAATGCTAGCCTGTTAGCTTGTTTGCTTGCAGCAGTAAGAGCTTCTATTGAAAGATGGGGCTTCATCAGCTCTTTATTTCAGCTCTGCAGGAGTTCAGCCCAGTGTCTTCATTGGTTTGACAGCTTTAATGCAGCAAATAAATGTAAAAATGTGTGAATTTTGGACACTGTTCCCCACCGTGCCTGCTGCTATGATCTTGTTGTGCTAAATGAAAATTAGCCCCTTTTTCTTTCATTTCCAACTTTGACTTCCTTGTCTGGCGGTTAGAAAAAAAATCCCCAAAAAAGACGCTTCTTTTTATAAGCCGCATGGTTCAAAGTGTGGGAAAAAAGTAGAGGCTTATAATCCGGAAAATACAACATATTCAGAAAGCCTTTCTTGGACAACAGTACACTCAGCTACCCTAAAGGCTTTTTTGCTCTTTAATTCTTATTTCCCCACTTGTCTTTCAGTGCCTTTTTATTTTTCTGCATATGCTGTGTGTGAAAAAAATTCTAAATATATGGGAATTTAATCAACTCTGCAGGGTTAGGTTTTAGATGGCAACATTTCTCTGTATCCCAAACACTTAAACTTGTGAAATTTCCCACTAAACCTTCACAGATTTTGTTCAGAATGATAAACTGCATCCAATGTGTTATAGACATTTCATCCTGTTTCATCCTCACAATTTCTTTTTCTTTCTCCAACTCTTCTCCACAGACTGACGTCCTCGTGGTTAGTTGTGACCTCATAACCGATGTAGCTCTCCATGAGGTGGTCGACCTTTTCAGAGCCCACAATGCAACACTGGCCATGTTAATGAGTAAAGCCCACGAGTTCACAGAGACGGTGCCGGGACAGAAAGGGAAAAAGAAGACAGGTAAGGGGAAAGAAGATTTGTTTTAAATGATGCTTTTTAAATACCTTTCTAGCTACATGCATACATCCTTTAGAAAAAAAACGCATGGATTTTATCTTTTTATTCAAGTGTGTGAACAAATGGAAGATGCCTATTAGATGCTAATGTCACCTAAGATACAACTGTGTTTCAAGTGTTGCGTTAAATGCTTCTGCATTATTTTGCAACCTTTTTAAACAGTTAATCTAAGTTGGAATATACCATTCAGAAAGAACCTAATGAAACATGACAAAATTGTAGAATAGAATTGAACTGTATTTTCATTACGGCGTCACAAGTACAAAGCAACGAGATGTAGATTGCATCTATCCAGAAGAGCTATACAGAATATAAATATTTATTTACATATGCACAGAGACTATGTATGTATTGACTATAAATGGTATATATATAAACAGAGAGTAATTGTAAGAGGCTGTAAAATAGATAAACATGAAAAACTATATACAGATAATCTTGTATTTCCCAAATTATTACTAGGCAATATTGGTGTATTTAAATGTCTTGAGTTTAAAAACTCACTTCTAACAAATATTTTAACAGAATATTTATTTAAATTCACTTTTTATGCCATTTAGCTAATAGAATAAATAATTTACTGTGTACCGAAAGACCTTTAGGTTAGCCAGATTTAGTTGGTCAGAAATAAGGTTATTCTTCTTTCTAGTATTTTGTTAAAGAACATCTGGTTTAAACTGTTTACTTCTGTCCAACTGGAATTAAAGAAAAAATGTCGGTTCTGTAAGATATAATATCTTTGCATTAATTTCTATTGTAATATGATGTGCTTTATTTTTTATTTTTGCCAGCTGAGCAGAGGGACTTTGTCGGTGTAGATCAGTCAGGGAAGAGACTACTCTTTATGGCCAATGAAGCGGATCTGGAGGATGGACTGTCGGTGAGAAAGTCTATCATAACAAAGTAAGACTTGCTTTATTATCATTAAGACCTTTTTTATCTAATTAGTGTGACTGTTTATTGCTTTGCATAAGCGCAAATAGTCCTTGATTTAATATTCATCTCAAAGCAGATTAGGCCATACTTCTTCTCACCTGCTTCAACACTTGACATGTTACTAGCTACTCACCTGCACAATACACTTATTTATTTATTTATTTATCCAATAAACTTACTTTTAGAATTGTCAGGTAATTTAAGTAGAAAATTAGTTGATTACTGTATAGTAATTAATCAGAGATTTTTTACCACTTGGACCAGTTATCTGAAACACAAAGACATCTCCTTCTCTCCTAAAAGGAAAGTTAACTAAATTGTTCTGCCCTGTTAAGATTGAAACAACTCCTATTTAGTGCTTCAGGAAGATCAGAGCCTGGGCCAAGGCATAAGGGAACTTTGCAACTTCTTAACCCCCCTCTGCTGACCATAGTGTTTACTGAGAGGCCTGGAATAAACACAGCTCTTTTTTATATTTATATTAGGAAACACAAACTTTAAAGAGTTACATTAATAAAGTCCTGTTTTTTTCATTTAATTTCTGTTGCTTGTGTCAGATTTGGGTTCAATATCCTTTCATGCTGTAAATGCCTCAATAAATCATTTTGTTTTTTTCTTCCCTAATATATAGCTACTTTTTAGTGAAAGATTTCATTTTGCCTCTCCTCCCCTCACTTTATCTCTGTACTTGAACAGCAAGGCTGGGCACACAACATGGGGCCCTTGCATCTCAGTGAGGTCAGCAAAGCACTATTCGGATAAAAGTTTCATTGAAAGCATCGATATTTCTCATAAAATGCATCATGCCTAATTTAAATTAGTCTGGAATGATTTTTGGCAGCAACAAAATTGCAACGTGGTTAACTTTATGTAATACTATAACCAGATGTAGTAGTTTAAAGACCATTTCTAAACGCTTTTTTAAAAATAATCCTGTTGTTCTTCCATTTGTTTCCTTATTACTAAATCTCTTATACATGGACAGAAGGTTATCGCAAATTTAACAGTATGCCAAACAAACAAATCAGATTTTTTCCCCATCTCTACTATTTGAAACTCAGTCCTTGATAGTCTCTGATTATTTGGTTAAATTCCATTGAATTGTTTTCTTGTGTCATCTGCACAGATATTTGTTTCAATTTATTTGTTAAGGTCATATTCTTGTTGATGAAGATTCTCTGTTTTGTTTTGTTTTTTGATACAGGAAGAGTACACTAGGTGATTGTTTTTTTTTTTTTGTTTCTCATTCCTAAATTGCGTGTTTGTGTGAGAGCGGGTGTTTTGGGAGCTCGTAAATATTTCATGGAGCCAAAGCCACTGTAAATTCTAGCCAACAAAAGAGGAGGCCAGAGCAGCTGCTCGAATGCTTCCCTACACAGAGAGCTCCTGGGCCGCACTCGCATATAAACACACACACATTCTGTCTTTTTTCACCTACCAGAAATGCTTACACGAGCGCACATGAGAATATGTAATACAACGTCAAGGTGGACTCTGATAGAGAGAAACCAGCCACATGTTGTCACAGTGTTTTGGAAACTCATTGATCTCATAGATAAACATTTACGGCTTGCAGTTAAAGACCTCTCTTGGGGTACAAGCTCACACACATCATACTACAACAAAAGAAAGATAGAATTTTTAAAAATGACCGTAAATAAAGAAATCATGGAGCATTTTTTGGAATGCAGCAGAAGATATAGAAGATCTCACAGCCTTCAGCGCTACTAAAAACCATCTAGTTTAAGAAGTTCTCACATCTAAAAGAAAAATGATAAATGTCCTTCATTCATTATGTCTGCCATCTTTTCCATTTTCTAAACATCAGACGACATCTCTTCTTTTATCCCTCTGTCCTCTTTCAGCCTCAACCCCTTTGCAATATTTTCCCCTTCCCTTTTTCTATGGTTTCCACTGCAGTGGAGTCAAACTGAGCTCATTCAGTACATTATAGCTGTAACTAGAACATCTATCTGTTTTGCGCATTCCAAAAAAAGAAAAAATAGAAAAATTGCCTCATTGTCGTAACATACTTACTTTACAATAGTGCAGTTTGATTTGCATTTTACCTGGAGTCCAATCAAAACAAGTTTGTAGGTAAAAAAAAGTAATTACAAAAAATACTGTCTGCTGCTTTGTGAGTTTACAATGACTTTCTTTAAGTTTGACAATATCATTTTTTTTTTATTTATCTTTTTTTATTGCTTTTTTAAAAATCTATATGATGGAAATTAAACCTATAAAAACAGATTGACAAAGGTAATTATTTTATTCGTCTTATAATGGATGCGATGAAAACACAGCTCCCTCTTTCTGCCATAATAGGTCAAAAACATGAGGGACCATGAGACGGCAAGAAAAAAATATATTTTATTTAAAAGGTCTAAAAGATAAACATAAGATCTTAAACTGTACTCAGATCAGTTATTGTTTGTTCAAACTTCAAGTGATCGACAGATTAATTTAAACTCTTACATTAATAATGGGATAAAAACTAAAACTGTTTTAGTACAGAGGCACAAAGGTAGTCACAAAGTTAATAACAGGATAGAGTAATGTGTACAGTATTATATCCTTTTACAAATAATACTGTTTTAAAATAGTTGAGTCTTCTCTCATTTATTTATATTTGGCTTCCAAGAATCCAATCAGTATTTTAAAGATGTCTTAAGTAAAGGTTCTCCGGGCTTTCCGAAGGTTCATTGTTTTTCTGTTCTACGTTTGTGTATAAAACTTTCACAAAGCCAATTAATACTAAAACATTATTTAAGTGATGATACATGTCTTGCAAACAACCTCAAATATTGAAACTTTATTTTAAGGCCCTTTTTACTAAAGCAGCTAAACCATGAATGTTGTGACTAATTTCCTTTTCTAATTAAAAGACAATGCAAATAACACGAGTTTACCAGAGAGAAATATATGCTTTCAAATTAATAAGTAATTCCTAGAAAAACCTGTATTTTAAAAATGCTTTTTACATGTGGTTGGAATAATTTTCTAACCCAAGGAAATTAAATCAGGTTTTGCTAAGCCTAGGTCTAAAGGTCCTTTCCAAAGACCTGTCTGTTCAAAATACCATATCTGGTAAAAAGAATGGAAAGTTCAATGGAAGGAGAAGCAGTTACAGTTTTAAAAGTAACAGCAAAACCCGAGAGATGATAATGCAGCAGAGAATATTCAAGAGTTTGGGAATATTCTTTCAAAGTTGTCGACAATTGCAGCCACTTGGGCTGCATCTTTCGCGTCTCTTGCCTGAAGCTGCTACTGACGTGTCCTACTTTGGCTAAAGGATTGTGCCCTTACCCATTGTTCCCAAGGCTTGTTTTCAGATGAAAGTAAGTTGTGCCTTTTTTAAGGACATTAAGGACCCTGAATTCTGGAGAAGAGCAGAGAGGAACAGAAGTGGAAGTGTCTTAAAGTCCACCGGGACATTTCCTTAGCATCTGTTGATGTGGGTCAACAATGTTTCCTGAAATCCAGGATCAGCTAAGCAGTGTGACCAGAAAATTGTAGAACACTCCATGTTACCCTCAGTTGGCAAGTGTTTACGAAGATTTAATTTCTTAGTACAACCCCTGCTCGGTCCCAGCCTAGTGAAAGTACCAAAACTCTCTTAACAGACCAGCACTGTACTCCAATAGCTATAAAACTTAACTTACGTGTATAAATGGGACATGATCATGAAGAAGATCACAGACACCAGACCTATTAATGTAGACAAATGTGGAGATGTCTATCAAAGCAAAATGGACTTCCTTAAAACCTGAGTATAACCACAGTCTGATTACATCCATGCTACACAACATTGATGTAGTTGTTTATTCTAAAGGAACTCAAATTAGGTATTTAGTGGTTATGGAGTAAAAGTCATGTCAATACACATTACATTTTGCAGTATTAAAGTAACACTTTAATTGTTACATTTAACACCTGGTTAGTGTCAAGTTCACTCTACATGGTGTATATCTTACTCCAGTTTTTGTTGTAATAACTCTAAAAGAGTTCATGTACTTTGACACTGCATATTTAACACTGTTATTATTGCTGTGCACTAAGCATAAACCTAAAATGTATATAAAAGCCTTTCAATTCTCTTATAGAATTGTAGGTTTTTATTCGATAGTTTATTATAGTTATTAGGATAGAAATATTTTACTGTGTTTAACGGATGTACAGAACATGGAACTTTCTCTCTTTAAATACTTTTTCTTTTTTAAATTTGAAACACTTTAGTTCTCTTTTCAGTCTGACAGTCAACATCCTAATTAGTGGAAGCTGCGTTTTTTTGAAACTGCCACAGGTTTTAACAGGTATGATGTGTTTGGAAACAATGGTAAATGTTTTTAATATGGCCATTTCGCAATCTTGCTTGTATGGTGAAAACCAGACTAATGAAGCTTTCACCAGATGTTCTGCGGCAACTTAGTCTTTGTTCACTGTTGGGTTTCATTTGTGATTTACTAAGAAATTATATTTGCTTTGTTGTAGCTGTGACTCTTGTCTCCAATGTGGTAATTAGCAGTTATTCATAGGGCCAAGAGCTGAGTCATCTATGCCTCCAAATGCTCTAAGTTCCTGCTGCCATTGGAACAAACCTCTGAAACATTCAGCAAACAGGAACTGGAATAGACCTGAAGTGATACTTTATTTTTTATTTATTTATTTTTTTTCTTATCTCTTTGGAAATTATGTAATTGTTTTTATCACATGGCTTCAGAATTTCGGACTACTATAAAGAGGTCAAGTGTAAAAAATCATTTGTTAATGTGTTTTAAACAATTTGTCGTTTATTTATCAGAATAAAAATATCAAATGATTTTTATGTAGGGATGCAAGCTATTGATTTAAGAATTAATCTCCAATTGACTGATCTAATTGATTGAAAGCTGCCATTTCCTTACATTTTGGCTTGTATTAAGAGAATTATTCCATAACCTGAAGGGCTTCAAGTTGTTTTACAATAT